TACGAAATTTTATATGCACTTTGGTGCGCATCAACTCGTGCTGTGCACAATACACGTGTCATACACACTCCACGCATGTCACACTGACGTTCGATGATACAATCGAGCAGGTGAGCGTCTAAGTTGCAACACCACTCGCACCTAGTGCGAACTATGTGTTTGTGATCGTCAGACCGTGAGCGGCACACAGTAAAAACAGGTGGTTATCACTCCCTTTGACCACGCCAATACCAAACGGCCCGATTACCTTTGTCCACATCGCAGCATCACGTCCAACGCTCGCGTTATAATCACACAGTACTAATACCCGATCGGCACTGACCGTATCACAGAGGATAACTGAGAGCAAAACAGATCCTTTATTTCATCAAGACAACACGTGTTGGGACTATACATGCCGCTAGAAGTCTCATACCTCCGCGTCTGTGGCGTGGGCAGTGCCAGTCGGCTCTTCCATCAGTGACCATTCAGGCGGTTAGCTAGTGCTAATCCGACCCCATATTGAACTATTGTTATGGTGGTGTTTTTTTACACAGTAGGTGTAGCCAGCACCATTCACGTGCAGCTTGCGTTGATCAGGCAGCTGAGTCTCACTGACTATAGCGATATACTACCGTAACGGCCGAGTTTCATAGAAAACAATATATAGCGTCGCTTGGAAGGCGAACTATTGTTCCGGTCAAGGACTCTGCACGTTCCAACACCCTAGCTTGAACAGTGCGAGTAGGCATGCTATTTCGCTGATAATACTAGGACTGGGTTACGGGCTGGGCAGATAGAGTGAGTCAGATGAAATGGGGACTGGGAAAGGAGAATTAATAAGGGTAGAAGAAAGAGTGCAGGCGTCGGCGGTTGTATGCTTTTGCTTATCCACCCGCTGTATGCAGCAGATAGGCTGTGCTTTCCCACTGCACGATGGCCGATGAACTAGTTTGTATTGATGTTATACATGTTTCGTTTCCGTACTAATATACTGTCAGAGCGTCTGCATCTAAACAGGAGAACAACTCGAGTCCTTAGCCAAAGCTGTGGGAAATGCACCAATAGATTCACGCGCATGTGTCCTAGCTCTTCTTCTAGCTAAGTGCATACAGAAGTCACGTTACTATGAGATGATCAAGGAGAAGTTTCTCACCAAATAATGTTGCACTTAGGTTTTGGAAGCAATGGCAATGGATTACCGCCAATAACTTGACAACATCAAGGATGCAGTTGCCCATATGCACTAGAAATGACTGTTGCGTCCGGTAGAGATGCGCCGGTTACGAAAGCGACAGGCTCCGATGTTACCTAGTCCATCGACGTCAATCACGTGATATTGTAGCACACGTAGTCGTGTGTGCCTCAGCCAAGCCAGTCTGGTAATCCGTCAACGTGGCCACGAGGGGATAATGAGAGAGATGTGACGAGTAAGTTGATTAGGTAAGTATCAGCCCCTAGTAAATACGCTACTTCCGATTTCATTAACTAACCCAGGCCAATAAGGCGGCAGATATGAAATGTGTGCTACATCATCGCTGCGCTTATGTCCGCACGATTGTTTTCTTACACTTCAAGTATTTGCCTTCTCATATCCCCGGATTGGCTGTGTTTCATGTGAATGTTGTCGAAAACGGCCACCTCGATTACTAGTTCCATGAGATTGTTGATTTTTGCTGGGGGAGACGGGGTGCACAGTCTTCTTGACCATGGTTGGCTCAAAAAGTGGTTCCATCTGGTGTGGAACGGGCCATGGCCCAGCTTCCTCCCTGTGTACGTCTGGTATGCATGTTTCCCATTGTTCATCAAATGAATAATATTCATGTTAATGGAGTGTGGGTCGGTTCCGAGTCAATCGTCTCTCTCATCTACATACCTCCCAGTTCTATTGCTTCAGGTTTCCACTGGATATATGGTGTGTGGACGGAGCTCTGGGTGCTTCGTTGCAAGCCACCCCATGGTCCCTCAGTAGGTGCAGGCATCTTGCGGCTGTTCTCAATCTCAGTGACAGGCTAATCCGGAAACCGATAACACCAACCAATTATATATATAAATAGATGCGGCGTGTTTACGGAGTCAGTGTCACTCCTGCATTCCTTCTTTTATTTCTGATTCCTGACTACTCATTCTGACACTTGATTCATACCAATTCCTCTCGCGTTATTATTCTTGTTCATTCATATTATTAGTAGTACGGACACGTTAGTCGTTGCTGCTGGGTCCACTGCTCCTCGTTGCATATATTGTAGCTATAATATTTACCTGAGCTGATTTGTTAGTAGTTAGAAAAAATTGCACGTGTGGTTTCCAATATTTGCGAAATTATTACCCCGCCTTATCGATAATGAGCGGTCATCTCGGCCGCGGTATATTGCTACTTTTTTGAATACGCCTCCTTGTTTATCCCTCTTTAATTTTCACTGCATTCTTTTGTTTGCTCACAACTTTGCATCAACGCTACAACGAATATGTTAGAGCCGTTGTTTTGTTTGAAGGTCGTTATTCGTCACCTCTGTTCTACCATTATCTATTTTCTGTAACTTGTAGCGATTTGCTACAAACGTGTGCACTGATATCAGCTAGGTAGCTTTGCCGGTGTACATCATTTTTCCTCCTATGTTTCACTCCGTTTGGCATTACATCATCTACCCACACATCTTCTAGCCCCAACCGGCCTCTTAGTTGGTGTCTTTTGTATACTTGACCATGAACATCGAGTTCAGCTACATCCATATTCACTGAAGACACTCGCGGCCCACCGCTAATTTTCAGTCGACCTTCACATATCTTGTTTCTAGAGTCGAATATCCTTGTTAGTTCTCATTGAAACTGCTTTGCTTACTAACTATTTTCTTGTTAGCGATCGTCTCTTTAGGTAACTGAACTACTGATGAATACTTTCATATGCCATTTTAAAGCCACCTATGACGTTTTTTAATCATTCTTGACCCTTTGCAAGTCAAACTGCACATTTTAAACCTAACATGGAAGTATTTTTGAACAGAGCATCAGTAATTTATTATCAAGGAAGCAAACAGCAACCTTTAAAATGGCTGTCCCGCTACTGCTGGTGTTAAGTGCATCATGTTCTTGAATGCATACTTCGTGCAGTCCTGCTGCGCAGCCATTCTGACGCTCCCTTAAGTGACCTGACTTAGGGTCTGGTCAACCATCTGGTTCGTCAGCAGACACTTCGATACGTTCACCTAGAGGGTGTTTCTTGCTGAGTTTAGTAGGTAAGAGTAAAGTAACAGAAACTTCAGTCGTCCGACACACGAACTCTGATGATATTCATGGTCATTCATGCCCCTTTCCTCTCCACCGCAACTTGTACGCACCATAAGCTCTTCGACGAGCGCTGATCGTTTTGCGCCATTACAAGTGTTATCGTTGAACTTTGAGTGAACTGTACCTTAGTTATTCATCGCCATACGATCTCGAACTTGAGATCACATATTCGCGCGTGGCTCTCTTTCTGAGCGAGGCTGCGTCCGTCGCAAATGAAGATTGAACGCACTGTCTATGAAGGTACCATTTTCCTTGTAGGGCATACAACGAGAAGTCGAGAGCATTTGCCTACGGGCTTACGATTGTTGTGGTATTGATGGCACCTCTTGAGCCTCGTCCTTAACTTTCTGATGTTATTGAAAATTTTGCATACGGTCGGGTAGATCACTTTCTACTTTAGCCACCGATGTGTCGGCACGGGCACATCTTCCGAATGTCATTCAACAATCTCTTCGATACGCTGCAGTATATTGAGAATCAGGTTCTTTCTGCCATTTCCTCACCATTGTGTTGACCAACGACATCTCGTCTGGATGCATTGGTCTTTCTTGGCGTACCGTCGCTGACATCGGCGACTTGAATAGCGTCTTAAATGGCTTTACCATCTATGAACACTAGCTTGATAAAGATCACTTTCTGTGCTTAAAATGTTCTGTTGCACCGTTGCTGCTTCGGAGACGTACGCTGTTATCATTCATTGCTCATCCTTGGTTGTTTCGTGAGGTAGTAGGTTCGGGTTGGTTGATTCACAATAGACTGCACTGCTCATGAATCCGGCTTTCTAATCGATAATAATAACCGCACATCTGCGCATACACGCAATTCACCGAGGCTGGGGTGAACAACCTCATTTTTGAGTCAATTCACGGTTGTGGTATGAGAGGGGCTTACACAGGAACCATCTGCTTGTACAATGGTTCGTATTAGCCTGATCGCAACGCGGTTTGGACATCGTTCAGTTTGACCCAGTGAACTTCTTTTCAGTTTGGTTTCAACAACCTACAGTGTGATTGGACCAGATCATTTCAAAGCAGTCGTTGTATGGATGGATTGTGAAATGCAGTCTCAGCGTGAACCGCAGTTCGCATTAAAGTAAACCTTGGTCGTTTTGGTCACTGGGACTGCAGTTGATAAAGCAAATAGATATTAAGTGTTGCCCGGTGGTCGAGTGGTCTACGCACCTGGTTTGTAATCTTAAGGTCACCGGTTCGAATCCGCTTACGGACTGCGTCCTCGCGGTATACTCAGCCCACGCACTACTTATGGTGGTCGCGTAGCAGCGAAGCGTCGTTACAGCGTACAACTAGCGATTTACTTTTTTAGGTGCTACCCGCCCGTGTTTTCCAAAAAATCCTCTAGTTGGTTTGGAAATCGTTCGATTTGGTATAGAAAATGTCCAGTTTTAAGTGAACATGATGCACTTTCGACTTATCCATCATACCAGGGAACTTTATTTTAACCTTTCCGGTTCCGCACGCTGTCACACATTTTCATTGGATAATAACATTTGTTCTGAGTTCTGGATGGTGGACTGGCGTTGGTACTAAAATCAACTACGCAGATCTCTACTCTGTCATTCATTGATTTGTTTCACTACAGTGAGTGATTTTTCACCTCGCGTTCATCATTGTTGTAACTGCAACTAGCGAAATCTCTATTTGTTGCACTTTTAGGAGTGACTGGCTGAATACTTGACCTCTGCGGTGCCTTAACATAAACTCTTTTTGTTTTAGCTACCCCATTTTCATGTTCCCCGGAAGCAGTGTACGTCGGCCGGAAGGCGCCAATTCAAGAATGCGGATAAAAGCATTTGCAAATTCGATGGATGAGCGCCTCGTGAATCAGATATGGGAGCAATTAAAAATGGCTATTATCGAAATCCAAAAGAAAAACAACAGCGGTTTGAGTTTCGAAGAGCTCTATCGGAATGCATATACTTTAGTATTACAGAAACACGGCGAGCGCCTGTATGCAGGTACTAAGGCTCTGGTATCTGAGCACATGATCCGCGTCCGCGACAGTATAGTGGATAATTTGAATAACAAGTTCCTTAGCTTCCTCAATTCGGCTTGGAAGGACCATCAAACGGCCATGGTCATGATTCGAGATATACTTATGTACATGGATCGCGTCTATGTCGGTCAGAATAATCTTCCTAGTGTTTACAAAATGGGAATGACTGCTTTCTGTAATCTTGTACTGCGCTATTCTGTGATTAGGGAACACCTGAACAAGACTCTCCTCGATATGGTCCGCCGGGAACGCCGTGGAGAAGTTATATCGCGTTCCCAAATTCGAGAGGCATGCCAAATGTTCGTGCAGTTAGGTGTAGGTTCCTTATCAGTTTACCTGGAGGACTTTGAATTACCTTTTCTAGAACAATCTAGAGAGTTTTATCGATCTGAAAGTGAGGCGTTCCTAGCAGAAAACACGTCTGCTATTCTCTATATCAAAAAGGTGGAGCAGCGTATTGAGGAGGAGATCAAAAGATCGCATCACTATTTGGACCCTTCAACGGAGCCTAAAATAGTCGCCGTTCTCGAAGAGGAACTCATAAGCAGGCACATGGAGACCATCGTGGGAATGCCGAATTCCGGACTGACCTACATGCTAACACATGATCGCTTTGATGACATTGCTGCAATGTACAACGTGCTCAGTCGAGTTGAAGAAGGCCCAAAGATCATGAGTCACTACATTAGCTTATACCTGAGGGATCAAGGACAAAATATCGTCAGGGAAACTGGAATATCTACCCCTCAGCAATATATACAGGACTTGCTACATCTTCGTGATCGGGCGAACGACCTGCTGATTGGTGCTCTGAATAATCAAACCATATTTCGGAATCAAATAAATTCTGATTTTGAGCACTTCATTAATTTGAACGCTCGTTCTCCCGAATTTCTTTCACTGTTTATCGATGAAAAATTGAAGCGGGGCACAAAAGGCATGGCTGATCACGACATTGATGCTGTGTTTGACAAGTGCATTGTGTTATTCCGGTACCTTCAAGAAAAGGATGTGTTCGAAGGGTATTACAAAAAGCATTTGGCGAAACGGCTGCTCTTGAGCAAGAGTCAGTCGGATGATCAGGAGAAAAACATGATATCCAAACTGATGGCGGAATGCGGCGCTGTTTATACCAGTAAACTTGAGGGAATGTTCAAGGATATGGCAGTCTCGAAAACATTGATGGAGGAATTCAACGCCATGCTACCGGCCAACCACCTCTCTCTCGGTATTGATCTTTACGTGCGCGTTTTGACCACTGGCTTGTGGCCGACACAAAATGTTCCTTGCTGTGAATCTCTTCCCGAAGAAGCCGCAGCTGCCTTTAATGTCTATACAAAGTAAGTTCCCCCTTCATTTCATTTGATTCTTATCCATAGTCACTTCTAAGTGTTTCATCAATCAGTTTCATTTGTTTCGGCAATACTCATCCATCATTTTCCTCTGTTGGATCATATCTCAACAATACTGCCATCTTTCATGTTGCATTATTGACGGGGCGTTATACTCTATTGAATCTACTTATCGGTTGACCTAACTACATCGACCTTTGGCCACCCGTAACCTTATGAGTTCGAGTGCTTTTTCCTTCTTAACCATGATAACTTAGTGCATGCTAACCTTCAGTTGCTGTCGTGCTTCTAACTATCTCCCGCAGCAGTTCTTTTTGGAAATTTTTAAGTTCTGCGTGTCACTTCAAAATACTTCCCCTGTTTGTGTTGATCTGAAAGTCCTGTTTATCTGGTATCGATCTATCTTAATGGCCAGTTAGTCCACACTTGATCGCAGATATAACGGCATTATCACATCCCTCAGCCACAACACAAATCTAATTCCTTCACTGCGAATTTCTTTTTTTATCAAGCGGTTACTAAGACGCACGCATCGTACTTATCCATAGCTATGTTTCATGAGGCGAATCACCCATTTCCCCCACCTTATTCAGTTGTGGTTCAACCATCCGGTTATACATTGGCGCTGATGGCACATTGAACGTCATTTAAGGGTAGGATTGGATAAGACTGCCGTCCATTTTCGAAGTTTTTATCTCAACAGTGCAAAGTGCTCATCATAGTGAATACTTCGGCAGTCCCTTGGTGGAGTTGTACCCTTTGGGCGCCTCCCCAGGTTGCCAACGAAACGTTTCCTTTGACTGCCTCTTCTCCCTCTGTGTTTACCAATGTGTTGTGGCACTCTGCTATCTGATTATGTGCGTATATAAATAAATAAACAAACAAACAAACAATACATGACCCACTGTCTTGTGGGTCAGGCTGTTAAGCCAAAGGCTCTGGGTGGAGTCCCTCAAGCAAACCCCTGAAGCACAACCGCCACCTCGCGTGCGATTGCCCACCAATGCAATCGTATGTCTGCGCGCAAACCACTCAGCATCGGGTGCTGGAACGTGCGCACACTACTGGACCGGAACTCGAGTGAGCGCCCCGAGCGACGCACTGCACTCGTCGCGATGGAACTGGCGCGTTACAACATCGATATTGCGACACTCAGAGAGGCCCGGCTTGAAGAGCAAGGGAAGTTGCATGAAGCAGGTGCTGGCTATACGTTCTACTGGGTGGGCAAGCCCAACTCAGCATCACGTGAACTGGGGGTCGCATTTGCAATATTATATATTTATATTTATTTATTCACAGTCTGTTAACAGACATTGTGCCATCAGAACCATGGCAGAAGAAAAAGGTGAAGAAGATGGGGACACTAATGCGATTAAAAAATATGGGAAACGAATTTTTTGCTTTTACACACGCCATTTGTGTTTTTTGTTTGGTTTTGTGAGTTTTTGTGTGTATCAAAGGGATGGTGAAATTGCGGAACAACATTGCCGCCACTGATGTCTGTTGCGGGCCATGACGTCCAATGTTTCCAACCACTGCAATTCAGCATCTCGTGGTCCCCAACCTGGAAGACGGACTGGTCCGACTGCTGCCAAACTTGAGGTCGCCTTCTTCATACTCCTTCTCCACGTCATCGGCTGTCCACCGCGGCACTTTTTCCAATCGCTCCCTGGGAGTGCAAATAGCGCTCGACGTGGAAGGCGATGGGCTGGCATGCGCAGAACATGCCCGAGCCAGCGCATGCGATGTCGGAGAATAACGTCTAGAAGACTGGCACTATTCGCCCAAGCACGCGGTCTCTCACCTCTGCGTTGCTTACGTGGTGTTGCCACCACACCCTAGCAATCCTTCGTAGACAGCGATTATCAAAGACTGATAGCCGCTTCATATCTTCCGAGCGAATAGGCCGTCTCACAGCCGTACAAGAGTACTGCACGGACGGAAGCATTGTACACCCTGCCCTTGAGCTTGAGACTGACATCACGACGACGCCATAGATGTCTCAGTTTGATGAATGCAAGGCGGGCCTTTGCAATCCGTTGTGAGACTTCATCTCCAACACCGCCACCAGCCGTGATGCAACTCCCTAGGTAAGTGAAGCAAGGGACTTGCTCCAGAACATGTCCAGCAATGGTGAGCGCGGGTTCAGGCACCTGCCAATCCTGGAGCAGCGTTTTACATTTTCCCGGAGTGAAGCACAGGCCGTACTTAGACGCCTCCATCGCCAAGCGGTCCAGAGCGTTCTGGACGGATTGTGGGTCGTCTCCCAGCAAGGCGATATCATCGGCGTAGTCCAAGTCCGTGAGTCTGTCTCCAGGGAGAAGCTCAACACCGCAGTCCTGGACACCTTCCAGTGCTCTTTGGAGCACATCTTCGATGGCGAAATTGAAGAGGAAAGGTGAAATAGGGCAACCTTGGCGCACACCGCTGGTCACAGCGAATGAAGAGGAGTGCGTGCCGTAAGCCCTAACTTTGCCCGACGTGTGACTGTAAAGTACTTTCAGGATGGTTACAAACTTGTCGGGCACACCTTTCTTCAGTAAACAGTTCCACAACGCAGATTTATCTACTGAATCAAATGCCGCTCGGATGTCCAAAAACACTACGATTGTTGGCCGCCGGTGGATGTGACGAAGTTCGAGAACTTGCCGAAGCGTGAAGATTTGGTCGATGCAGCCACGGCCTGGACGAAATCCAGCTTGTTCTTCTCGGGAAAACTCCTCTCTAGTCGTTGAAAGCCTGCCAAGTAGGACCGACACGAAGATTTTGGATGCGACAGAGATTAGGGAGATTCCGCGGTAGTTGCAGCAATCGGCGCGGGAACCCTTCTTGTGAATCGGGACAATGACCGATTCTCCCCATGAGCTCGGAACCTTCTCCTCAGTCCAAACTTTCGTGAACAGCGATAGGGTTTCGCTGATAAGTACACTCCCACCATCTTTGAATAGAGCTGGTGGTAGGTTGTCAGGACCCGAAGCTTTGTGGCGTTTCAAAGATTGGACTACATTTCGAATCTCTGCTTCATTTTGGGGGGCTGTGGAGACAGGCCAAGCATCATACATTGGGGCTGGAGGTGTCGCAGGGGACTGTGTTGGGTGGTTGAATTGAAGAGCGAAATGCTCTGACCAGCGACCCAATCGTCTGCGAAGGTTGGTGATCTTCGTGCCGTCTGCCTCGCAAATCGTCTGGCTGATAGCGTGGAAATTGCAACCAGTGGCCCTGATGATGTAAAACAGACGGCGGAAGTTGCCAGCTGATGCAGCGGCTTCCATCTCACCAGCTTGTTTTGACCAGCTGGTGGGTGAGCCAACAGGCATCAGCGCGCGACTAATGACTGTTCGCCTACGACTCTGAGGAACTAAGTTTACCACTTTTCTAAGCAATTACGGTCCGATCATGTGTTATCTTGATGACACGCATGATCAATTCTACATTCACCTATTCTCCGCGATACGTTCTGTGCCCAGAAGCGATCGACTGTTTCTGCTGGGTGATTTCAACGCGCGTGTTGGGCGTGATGCATCGGTGTGGACAGATGTTATCGGTTCGCATGGCATTGGTTCAGCGAATTCGAACGGTGACAGACTGCTCGCACTTTGTGCGACTCACGGCCTGACGATCACGAACACTCGGTTTGCATTGAGTGCGAGTGATGTAGCTACTTGGACGCACCCACATAGTGGTCACACTCAGTTGCTCGACTATGTCATCGTACGTCAGCGTGATATGCGTGAAGTGCGCATGACACGTGTACTGCGTGGTATGAACCAAACGGTACCTATAATTTCGTAAATCTATGCATTGCACTCCCGACGTGAATCGGCATAAATTTAACATTCTCTGCCTCGGTACTGTGGCGAAACGTATTGAGCCGGAGAAGGCGATGGCTGCACGCCTATGTGATGTGGAATGCATAGCCGCAGTGAGCGACCTGTGGCACCACATTCGCTACTAGGTGACAGTTGCTGCCGAGGAGACCATCGGGCGCGCAAACTGTAAGCGGCCTGATTGGTTTGATGAGAACAATGCGATGATTGGCGCATTGGTGTCGGAGAAGAATGCAGCATTTGCTGCACATGTGGCAGACCCCAGTGACTTGGGAAAGAATAGTCAGTTTCGCAAATTTCCACGGCGACTGACCAGAGAGCTCTGTCACATTAAAAATACATGGTGGACGGAGTAGGTGAAGCAGATGGAATGCTACACCGAACGCCGCCAATACAGGGAATTCTTTGACTCCGGTTCCGGAAGGCGGTGTATGAACCGAGATTGGAGCCGTTGAGGACGCTAAACGATGCTACCTCAGGCGCTACCTGCACACCGACTGCAGACATAATGCAGATCTGGCGGAAACACTTTGACTGTCTCTTGATCAACCGTTCAGATTGACTAGCCTACATTGAACGGCCTGAAGCAGTACGATATGATGAGTCTGGCGGACATGCTGACACTGCATGAGACGCAGAGAGCATTTGCTCAGCTGCGAAACCGCAAGTGTGCCTGTACCGACGGGATCCCGACTGAAGTATTGAAACACGGCGGACCCGCGTTGTTGACTGCGCTACACCACTTGGTGCAACGCGTGTGGATTGAGGAGAAGGTGCCTCCTGAGCTTGAAGATGCGCTTGTGCTCTTGCTGTACAAGGGCAAAGGTAGCAAGCAGTGTTGTACAAATTATCATGGCATCAACTTGCTGAGTTGTGTGGGCAAGGTGATTGCCCGAATCCTGCTCAACCGCCTCGTCAGTCAGGTTGTGGAACCTAACTTGGCGGAAGAGCAATGTGGATTCCGTTCGGGTCGCAGTACCATCGATATGGTGTTTGCGGATCGTCATTTGCAGGAGAAGTGCAGAGAACGATAGCAGTCATTGTACTCGCTTTTTGTTGATTTCACCAAGGCATTTGATACGGTGAACCGCGAGGCATTGTGACTGGTGGTGGGTAAGTTTGGTTGTCCGAGTAAGTTTGTAAGTTTAATTGAATGTCTGC